TTTTTTTTTTTTTTTTTTAGAAGTGTGCACACTAAATCGTGAAGTTGGCCAGGCAGGCTGGGCTGGAGCTTTCAGTCCTTTTGCTTCAGGCTCCCAGAGTGCTAGAATTACAAGTAAGCACCAGTATGCGCAGTGCCTCTCCAGCTCAAGGGAGGCACTTTGCCCTAGAAGCAAGCAGGAGTCATCACCATTCCTTGTTTATCACCCCTTATTTGATTTCTCCCTGTTTTATTTTGGCATGTTCCCATATCCATCCATGCTTAGCATAGATGCAATTATAACACATTATCTGAGTCAGAAAATATGACATTTAATCTATTTATAGTGGACATTTTTTTCTTTTAAAATTAATTTCAGTGGTACATTTTTGTTATGCATAACAAGCACATTCATCACAGGGCATTTGTACTTGTAATAGTATATCTTAGTTCTTTTTTTCCGCAACCCCCTCCTCTGCCTTCAATCCTTCCTCCCCTGCTTATTTACGAAAGCTTTGTTTCCATTTTCCCTTTATTCTTCTTTTCTTATCCCTTCCTTCTCTTCTCCCTCTTCCCCCCTTTGCACCACTTCCATTTGTTTATTCAGCCTTTTCGCTTGCTTTTTTTTTTTTGTGGTGCCGGGAATCCAACCTGGGCCCTTGCATTTTTAAGGCAGGCAGCAGAACCACTGAGCCAAATTCCTGGCCCTCCACTTCCCATTTGAACATGTTCTTTCTGCTTCCCAATTTGCTCCTTATTTGTGCTTTCAGTTTTTCACACAAGGGAAACAATGTGATATTTACACATGTGTGTATGATTTATCTCACATATGGTCTCAAGGTACATTTATTTACCTAAAAATGTCTCAAGTTTATCCTTCTTTATGGCAGAGTAGTACTCCATTGTATAAAAAAATATTTTCTTTATCCATTCATGTGTTGATCGGCATCTGGGTACTGAACATTATTTGTGTCTTAGCTTTTATAGTTTTTTCTGCATAATTGTCACCTATTAATGCTTGATGGGATTCATTATTAGTAGTAGAATTCATCATAGAATTGTATTAAACTTTGAAGAGCCTTTAATAGTTTGATGATGGTTTTAATTCATTGAGATGGAGCGCTAGTGTGTTTGGGTGTACTACAGCAATAACTACTGAGGAGCTTTCTGACACATGGGAGTCTAGTCTGAGATGCATTTCAAGTGGATGGAATGATCTATAATGGATTATCTATAATTATATGAATAATTATTGATGACTAGATAGATATTTTTGTTGTTTTTAAGAATTTGGAGGATCAAGTGACTCTTGAAGATGAAGAAATGGGTTTTTGTGAGTACCTTATGGGTGTGGCTGTGCTATGCATTTATGGAACTTGATTAATGTTCCCTGTCTGCAGACTTCCCCTCCCCGCTGCACATACTGCGCTGTCATGGGTTCCTGGCAGGGACTGTGACAGTATCACACATTTTTGCTTGGCCTTCTAGGCCTTCTTCTGAAATCCGAGTGGGAGTATCTGTGACCCCACAACTCTTGCAATTTGCATGCCTGGAAAAATCCAAAAGCATGTAGATGCTGTCAAGTCAGGCTTCACGTTATGTAACAGAGCTACCATGATAAAAACAGCAATGGTATTGGCAAAAAAACCAACATGTGGAAAATGGAAGCCAATCAAGGATACAGAAACCACCCCAGGGACATTCAGCTACCTGAACTTCGGCAAAGGGGTCAAATACATATGCTGCAGGAAAGACAGCCTCTTTAACAAGAGGTTCCAGATAACTGGCTATCCACAGTAGAAGACTGAATCTAGATCCCTATCTCTCACCATGTATTAAATAAAAATTTAAACCATCAAAGATCTAAATGTTAACACAGACACACTTAACCTGTGGATGAAATCTCAGGGTTGTTTTCAATTGCATTTCTCTAAATAGCCAAAGATGTGGAATAGGTTTTCTTGTACTTATTGGCCATTTGTACTTCTTTTGAGAAGTGTCTGTTCAACTGCCCACTTTTGGTTGAGTTTTTTATTTTGCAGGGCCTGATGTTTTTAGTTCTTTATATATTCTAGATATTAGTCTTTTGTCTGAAGAACAGCTGGCAAAATTGTTTTCTCATTCTGTAGGTTGCCTTTGCTTTCTGTTGGTTGTTTCCTTTGTTGTGCAGAAGCTTTTATTTATTTTTTATTATTGGTATTATCAACAAAGTATTGGCATTTTTTTGTGCAATTTGATTCTGTTCAGAAAGTCTTTTTTTTTTTTCTTCTGTTTTTTTGAGACAGTGTCTCACTACGTAGTCGAGACTGACCTGGAAGTCACTATGTAGCCCGGGCTGGTCTCCAACTCACAGGGATCCTCCTGCCTCAGCCTCCCGAGTGCTGGGATTACAGGTGTGCGTCACCATGCCTGGCTCATACATTACATCTTTTTAAGGCATACTACTATATCAATTTCACTTAATATCTGCATTACTGTGTTAGGTGCATAATCTTAACAATATCCTAGGGATCTGACAATTCTACCTCTTACCTTACTTATCAATTTTTTAAGTAGTGTTTGCAGTTTGCTAAATTGCTGTGTTGTGTCTCTAATACTAAAACTGCTAGAGGTGATGTTTTTGATAAATAGGTGAGGATTTTGTGTGCTAGGTTCCTTGTTTTAATCTTTCCTTGAGTGGATTCCTGTGTTGGGTTAACAAAAATTGTAATACAAATTCATCAAATAAATTATTTGTTAACTCAATGGGCATCCAACTTGATATAAA